GGGGTTTCACCATGTTGACCAGGATGGTCTCGATCTCTTGACCTTATGATCCACCCGCCTCGGCCTCCCAAAGTGCTGGGATTACAGGTGTGAGCCACCGTGCCCGGCCTTGTTTTTATATTTTTAGTAGAGATGAGGTTTCGCCATGTTGGCCATGCTGGTCTCAAACTCCCGACCTCAGGTGATCTGTCTGCCTCAGCCTCTCAAAATGCTGGGATTATAGGTGTGAGCCACTGTGCCCAGCCAGATACACTGTTATTCCCAAAATAAAGTGTTCTCTTCCTTAGACCTGTGGGGAAGCTGGGGGGAAGGGTAGAAGCAATAGTCTTTAGCCCAGAAAGTTGCCTTGGGGGAGGAGAATATGGAGCAGAGTTAACAAGAAAAAAATATGGAAGTAAGCCCTTTGATCTTCAAAGGTGGGGTCTAGATTATTTTATTAGTGCCTATGTTTATATGAAGTTTATTTAAGTACCTCCTTGTCTATCAAGCATCTAAGAAAACTAAAATCACATGGTCCCAGTGTCTTAGGAGGCTGCAGATAACACATATATGTGAAACTAGGAGGCAAATTAGGGAAGAATTAGGGTAGTGATTAATACATTACCAAGGCCTAGGATGGTAGCTCATGCCTGTAATCCCAGCACTTTGGGAAGCCTGGGGTGAAGGCAGGTGGTTCCCTTGAACTCAGGAGTTCTAGATCAGCCTGGGAAACATGGCAAAACCTTGCCTCTGCCAAAACTACAAAAAAATTAGCTAGGCATGATGGCACTCGCCTGTGGTCCCAGCTACTTGGGAGGTTGAGGTGGGAGGATCACTTGAACCTAGGAGGAGGAGGTTGCAGTGAGCTCAGATTGCACCACTGCACTCCAGCGTGGGTGACAGAGTGAGACCCTGTCTGAAAAAAATAAAATTAAGTGAAAATACATTATCAGACAGTAAAATATGAACCCAGAGTGCCTGTCAAGTCACTGCAGGTCTGAGTGTGTGTATCAAGGTTTAACTCCATGCAATGAAAGGCGGGCATTGGGCCGGGCGCGGTGGCTCAAGCCTGTAATCCCAGCACTTTGGGAGGCCGAGGCGGGTGGATCACGAGGTCAAGAGATCGAGACCATCCTGGTCAACATGGTGAAACCCCGTCTCTACTAAAAATACAAAAAGTTAGCTGGGCATGGTGGTGCATGCC